TAAGACACCGCCCTTTCTTCCGCCTCCGGGAGCCCTAGAACTTGGAGCGCTAACCTCCGGAAGCTATGTAAATTACATGCTAACCTCAGAGACATTCGCCTGCTGAGTTGGCGCTGGCTGCGGGACGGCCACAGCTACGGGACCCTGTCCACACGGACCCACGCAGGCGAGGCGCCCCCTGCGCGAGGTGCGGACGTGGGCCCCAGCTTCAGGAGCCCTCGACAAGACGCCGGGTCCCCTGCCCTCCCGCTCCCGGGCTTTTTTTTCGGGGCCCGGCGGCAGCCGGTGAGCAGGCTTCTCTCTCCTGCCGCCGTCCCACGACCCTTTGGCGCCATCGCAGAACGCGGGCCGCCCGCTCCCCTTCCCGCTGCTGGCGGGCCCCCGTGGGGGTTAGGGTCCAGAAAAATCTCTCGCCCACCCGATCCTGGGCTGCCCCACATCCCCCACCCCCACCCCCGTCGCCGCCTGGAGGGCCTAGGATCCCCAAGTTAGAGGGAGGGAAACTCTCCGGGGAGACTTTGACATCACCCGAGATTTGGCCTCAAATCTCAGCGCGGCTCAGAGCCCCACCCCGAAGAGTCCCATCCCGGGCAGGGTGGAAAAGAGGACGAGAAACCAGATCTCACAAGGAGGAGCAAGGGTTGGCAGGGGATTGGAGGTTCCCGTGCCTTAGCCTATCCTTCCAGGCCGAGGCCAACGGTAACTCTAACCCTACCCCATCCCCAGGACCTTCTCCCGTGCAGAATCTTTAGAAGTGTTTATCATCAATTCTAATCTTAAAATAATGATAAAATTGTTGTAAAATGCTTCAATGCCTTTCTTTGATTATATAAATACGAACAACAAAATTGTTCTGTAAAATCTTCCTACAATTACAATTAGTAACTGGGCGGAAGACTTTTTTGATTTTTCTCCCTTTCCTTTAATTACTACATTTTTAAAAAAGTTATCGAATAGGTTCACAAATGCTAATTATCACAATTGTTGTTGTCAAATTCTGTCTAGTTGATTCCGACTCATAGCGACCCTGTATAGGGTTTCTGAGGAGCAGCTGGTGAGCTTGAACTGCCGACCTTGCAGTTTAAATGGCTTTGCAATCTGGTGCATTAGCCCACAGCACCACACCAGGACTCCACACTAGTACACCTAAAACATCAGAAAATCTGGCAAAATCAACAACTATAAAAACACCAACAGCAAAATGAAAACTAAGCAGGTGCTTCTAGCATGTGGAGCTAAAACAATGTAATTAAAAGGGTCATTAGAATTGGGTATTAATGACAGCTCTGATGGCATTAGAAAGCTCAAAAATAAATTGTACAGAGTTTTAGCTTTATAGGCATGGTCACATAAGTTGTCCCCGCTATCTGAAAGTCAATCATTCCTATAAAACTGTCTTAAGACATAATGGCAAAAAGAAGCAATTATTACTAATTTATGTGGGGGTGGGTGGAATTTGAGAGTTCCTGGACCCAAAAAGGAGCTACCAAATTGCAATTTGGTATATAAAAGCTAAAATTGCACCAGCACGTAGGCACAGGTACAGTTCAAAGCTATGGTGACTTGATGCTGAAGTAATAAGTATGTCGTTGTTAAGTGCCATCAAGTTAGTTCCAACACACAGCAACCCTGTATAGGGTTTCCAAGGAGCAGCTGGTGAGCTTGAACCTCAAGCCTTAAGGATCAAACCGACTTTGCAGTTCAGCACATTAATCCACAGCGCCCTGGAAGGGAAAGAATTCAGAGGACCCACTGTACCCCTGGCATAAGACAAAAAGATATATAAACACACACACACACACAAAACCAACTGCCATTGAATCGATTCTGACTTCCAGCAATCCTATGAAACCGGTTAGAACTGCTCCATAGGGTTTCCAAGGCTGTAAATCATTAAGAAAGAATTCTGCCTTCTCGGAGTGGTTGGTGGTTTCAAACAGCGGACCTTTCCATTAGCAGCCAAGAAGCTAATCACTGTCACCAGAACTCCAGTATGAGACATGTTTAGTGCCATTGAGTCGATTCCAACCCATAGCAACCCTGTATAGGGTTTCCAAGGAGCAGCTTGTGAGCTTGAACCGCCGACCTTGCAGTTCAAATGGCTTTACAGTCTGACGCATTAACCCACAGCGCCACACCAGGACTCCAATATGAGACAAGGCCCCCTAAAAACATTGGTCAGGGGTTCTATGAGATGGGACAGTGAAGGAGCAGGCATTTCACCCTCCTCAAGCCTACCGCTATGCTACTTGGGCAGGAAAAAGGGTCTGACCCCAACTTGGGGCCGGGGGTGGGGTGGGGGTGGTCTCGAGAGCTGATGTGGGCAGCTCCTGGGTCCACCCTAGAGCAGCTGCCCACAACAGACAGAGAGTGAGAATAAAGCTTCTCTAGCTAAGTCTTCCTCCTTGCCCAAACACCACCAGACAGGCCCGTGACTCATGGTTCCCATGCCAAGGAAAGACCACTTCCCTGCTGGGGCAAAGAGGAAGCCAGAGCCCCATCCCCACCTCTCCTCTACCCTGCTGGAGTCTTCTGGAATGGACCTGACTGCTGGGGAGCCATGGTTTGGGGCTTACCTGTCCTCCAGGGAACACAGGTGAGTAACGCTGATGGGCCAAGGGCTGGGATTGTACCAACAGACCCCTGCTTGTAGCAATGAAGGGGATAGGAGGGACAGGACAGCAAGGATGAGCAAGGAATGGATCCCCCAGTGTAGTGTGTCAACTGTGCGTAAGATACAGGAAAAGGGTCTAGTCCATGCTAGGGTGGGGTTAGGATGACTTCCCAGGACCCATGGGACTTCTCTCTGACTGAGGATTGGAATCCGAGGAGGGAGCCGCTTGCTGGGGAGGGCACTGGGGGACGGAAAGCTGTGTGTGCACTGAGAGATGCTGAGAGTCTGGGAGAGACCATCCACCTCCTGAAGGGACACATTGGCTAAGGGGCTTCTGAAGAGAGGCCTGGGTCCCACATGCAAAGACAACACAAAAGTGCTAGGTCCTGAGTTCTGATTGTGCCTGGACATTGTAGGACTGCTGCGTACGAGATGTTACACTGACCAACAGCCTCCTGAGACATGGAGGAGGAGATCATTGTGGAGAGCCAGCCCCTGAAAGGTTCTAGAGGGAAAGTGGAGTGCAGGGGGAAGGGAAGGGAAGTCAGGAAAAAGCCCCCAAAGGAGGGGGCTGATGAAGAGACTGAGTAGGAAGATCTCTCCATATAAGGGGCAGGATGAGAAGTGAGAGAGGGAGGCAGTGGACTGGTAGCCAGTCTCCCCTCCAATCTGTGTCTCTTCCATTCAGCCACCTCTGGGTTAGTGACAGCAGGTTGCTCTGAAAGGAAGCTGCCCATCGTGAATGCCACCAGGGTGTCAGGGCCTGGGGATGTCAGGGCACTGAACTGAGGTAGTAGTGACCAGGAGGAAGTGAGGTGGTTGAGGATGGTGGATCCTTTTGGAAGGAAGAGGAGAGGGTGGCAGGCAAGTACTGGAAGGAGGGCAGCACAAAAGACTGAAACAAACCTCCTGCCCTGCAGTTGCTAAGGGAACAGAAATTGGAAGCCTTGAGGGTCAGTTGGCCCGAGAAGTATAGACCGTGGGTCTAAAGTATATGCCCCGAGCCTAGAGCTGGACAAGAGTCAAGACTGAGCAATCTCTAGGGCCGAATGTCACATGTGGGTGCAAGGAGTACACACACACACCCTGAGGCTCTGATGAATGGGACGCCCTGCTTGGCATGGGTCCTGGCGAGTTCTCAAGGGAAGGAGGAGACCTTGCACCCCGAGAAGTGATTGGAGCTCTGAAGGGAGGCAGTTTAGGGTGGATCTTGTTGAGGTGCTGTTTTAAGGCTCCTGGGCCTAGGGGGAAGGTGTGGGACGCTGGGCAAGACAGGAAGAGGGGGTTTCATATTTCTGGCGGTTTCCTGAGCTTCTGAGATCTTCCCAGAACCTGAGGCTAAAACAAGGGCAACAGTGGAAGCAGCAGCCCGAGGAATCATCCCGCTGCATCAGAGACCCCCCCCCAGCCCTGAGTGCTGGTGAGGTGCAGGGGGGGCTTGGGAGGGAGGAAGGCTTTTATTCAGGGACAGGGACCTTGGGACTTGGGCCGCTAAGTGATGAGAGGGGAGTGGCCTGGGTGGTGGCCCTGCACACTGATAGGGCTATTTATGTGTGTGTCCGTGTTCTGTGTAGTATCTGTTTGCTCTGGACTTGTCTGCATGTAAGGATGTATCCGTCTGTGTGTATGAAGATGTGTCTCTATTCATGTCTGTGTGTCTGCTCTGTGCTATGTCTGTCTGTATATGTGTGAAGTGTCTGTGTGTCACATGTTTATCTCTGTGTGTGGGTGGCTGTGTGCCTCTGTATGTATGCTGGGGACGTTCAGAAAGAGAAATGCTCCTAGCCAGTAAGTTTCACAGGGCTCCAAAAGAGCTCCTAGCTTCCTCCGGGGAAGCAGATTCTCTTTCGATGCCCTTGTTAGCCTGCTGTGTGTGCACTCCGGGCTGCACCCAGCCCCAGCCCACTCACCATGCCATCGCAGCCCTAACATGAACTTTGCCACTGAAATGGCACTGTGCCCGTGAGGGCATCGAGATGACCGTGGCCCAGAGGCCTGTTCCATTCTACCAGCAATTTATTGAGTGCCTGCTGAGGTACAAGGTGGGGCTGAGAAGGCCACAGGCTGACCCTGCAGGTAGTATATCAACCAGAAAGAATTCCACCGGTTGCCTTGACCCATGGATCGCCCGCCCACCGGCCCCTCCTGCCCTGCTTGCTCTGGGAAGTGGGTGAAAGGAGGTGCCAAAGCCAGCGTGTGGCCCTCTGGCCACCTTCCAGGGGGCGGTGTCCCTCTGTGATACCTGTTGCTGAGGGACAGGTTTCAGCTGCCCAGGGAAGGTGGCAGGCACGCACCAGGAGGGCTGACAGCCCTCAGCCATTGCAAGTCTCTACTCTGTCCCCTCTCCAGAAGGCCCAGGTGGTGGCAGCAGCTGTGAAGGCAGAAGATGCCCGGGGCCCTGGAGCGCGAGGAGGGCAGCTGGGCCTGGGCGGTACTGCTGGCCTCTTTACTAAGCCAGGGCCTCACACTTGGCTTCCCCACTTGCACTGGCATCTTCTTCACGGAACTGCAGCGGGACTTTCAGGCCAGCAACAGCGAGACTTCCTGGTTCCCCTCCATCCAGACAGCTGTGCTCCATGCAGGGGGTGAGCAGCCTGGGGATGGGGGACAGGCGGGGCAGGGGCATTGGGAACCACACCCTCTCCTCAGCTTCCTTTCTGAAGCCTCAGACTTTGCCTTGTGGGGTGAATGCCTACAATTTCATCTGATTTCAGCCAGGTCAGCTCCCTGGCTGGAAACCAGCTGGACTGGGTTGTGTCCCCACGAGCAAGTCCAGGGAGGGAATGAGGATGCAAGTCCCGTGCGGGGCTGTAGGCATGCTAAGGCGTCCTCTGCCAGATCCGAAGAACCGGGCGAGGTTGGGGCCAGCCTACTGAGGCTCTTCCACTCTCTGAACCTCAGTTTCTTCCCCTGAAAAATGGGGTTAACAACTGGCACCCAGCCTACAGCCCCTATGGAAAAGATTGTGGGGAGATTCCTAGGAGATCTGGAAGTGCTTTCAAGTCGGTTCCAACCCATAGCAACTCTGTAGAAGGTTTCTGAGGCTCTATATGGATCTTTATAGGATCAGACAGCCTCTTCCTCCCACCAGCCTTGCTGTTCCCAGGCCGGTGTTGCTGCTTCTGCAGAGCCACTGAGCTCAGAGCTGGGGGATTGGTATTCTTTTGGAGATCTTTATCAGGGGCCTTCAAGATGGGGAAGGAGACTCAAGGAACATTCTGAGAAGGAAGGGAGGGAAGCAGGGCATCTCCGCCTGGGTTCCCTGTGCAGAGGAAGGGCCGGGGAGACAAGGAAAGACAGCTTCACCACCTCTTTCTTAGGCCACCCACCCCCCTCTCTCCCACACAGGAGTGTGCTCATACACACGCGCGCACACTCACTCACACACACCAACATACGCACACACACACTGGGGCCTGTTTCCTGGCTGGCTCCTCCAGAAATGTGATGGCCTGGTCTGAACTCCAGCCATGGGAGAAGGGCAGCGGCTGTCCCGGAAGGGCTTAGAATGCTACCACCTGCCCTCCACAGGTAGTGACCTTGTGGGGGCCTGACCCAGCAGCCTGATGTGTAGGGTTGGTTCACCTCAGCTGACCTCAGCTCCTTGGTCACCTCCCTGCCACTGCCTCTACCTGGCACCAAGTCCTTTCCTAGAATTGGGAGGGTGGCCAGACAAGGTAGATAGCCACCCTCTCAGGGATGACCCTGAATCTGTTCCCAGGACATGGGCTCAGGACACGAGAAGGGTCAGGCCTAGCCCAGACCCACCACAGCCTCCTGGCCTGCAAGGCTGGGTAGGTGTAGAAATCTCAGTGGTTCCTTTTCATGGGGGCAGAGAGGCCTGGGCAGCTGGTATCCAATGGGATCCCCCACTTCTCAGCTAGCCTCCGCAACCCCCTCAGAGACACAGCATCAGCGGGCAGGTGACTCCTCTCCATCTGTGCCTCAGTTCCCCTCACACACACACACCCCTTTAACTCAAGCTCACCCAGAGTTCAGTTGAAATGTGAAACTTGAAAGTCTGGCCAACACGTTCATACGTACCCCTTCCCCACACATAAAATTTTGGGATGAGGAGAGCAGGCCTGCACAGAGCTGGGGATTGCCTGGGGCTCCAGAGCAGGTTTCTGGCAAAAGCAGTGCCCCCTCTGAGCAGACGCCCTGCCTCCCAAGGCCGCACCCAGCACCCTTTGCTATTAAGCTGGCTCAAGTCCAAACCCCACCCCCCAACTCACTGTGACTCAGGGCTTTTCCCAAGGTCATCTGTCCTGAGTCAGCCTTGGGGTGCAGCACATTGTGAGTCCATGGCCCTAGCCCTGAGAATCTTCATCCACCCTCTCTAGCTGCATCCACACTGACCTCAGCCTCTACCTGATTCTGTCTGTGGCCAGCTGCCCACCGCTGCCTTGGCCATTCACATAAATGTCCACACATTGCCTCACCATCTAAACACACATGCTCTCCATCCATCCCTATCCCCATGTCTTTGGTTGCACTTAGAAGAGTCACTCTGGAGAAGCTGTGGTTGGGGACAGGGCCCTTGGTGAATAGAAGCAACTGGCCTAGTCTGGCTTATTTCTGCTTCTCAGGGCTGGTGAGAAAATGACTCAGGGTGGATGTGGGTGGAGAGTGGGGGACAGGTCCCCCTCCAACTGGAGTCAAAAGTCTGGATGTAAGACCTTGGTAATGGCTGGAGATGACAGGGGAGGAGAGAAGGTACCTCTCCCCTACCCAGAACCCTCCAGGGTGCAGAGTGGCCAAGGGCCCGGCTACACACTGTAGGGACAGAGGCTCCCAACTGAACAGGGTTGAAGGTGGTAGGGGAGCTGTGGCCCGAGGTATAAGTAGACATGTAATGGGGGTCTTCCTGAGAGTCGGGCTGGAGATTCCCAACATGATGTGGGTTCCCTGGGATCTTCCTTCCAAAGGCAAGCTGATTCTCCTCAGGGCCAGACTGAGCAATTATAGCCCTTCATGTCCCAGCTGGTTGGCCGTTCATCAGTGTAACCCCTCACTCTCTAGGGGAGGAAACAGGCGCAGAGCGAGATGAGCCAGCCCCTGGCAGAGTGCGAGTTAGAGTTTCCCAGGTCCCAGGGATTATGCCCTTTAACCCTCACCCCTACAATTTCCTGCTGGGATCCCCAATCACCTCCCCACCACCATCACCTCATTCCCCTTAGCTGCTCCCTACAGCTTCTCTGTCTCCCCACAGGGCCCCTGTGTAGCATTCTGGTGGGACGCTTCGGCTGCCGATCGACCGTGATGCTGGGGGGCGTGCTGGCCTGCCTGGGCATGGTGACAAGTGCCTTTTCAAGGACCTTGAGCCAACTCTACGTCACAGCGGGATTCATCACAGGTGACTGTCATTCCATTCCAAGACTTCCTGGCCACATACTCAAAAATGTCAGTTGGCTTCCTAAAGTTCTTGAAAAAAAAATTCCATTCTCTTTCAGGTTCATTTTGAATTGAACTTTTGGGAGCCCCCTCTTATACATATACATGTTGCTGCCATGGTATTTTCAATAACTTCATATGCATGTGAAAGCTGGACAATGAATAAGAAATTGTAGCGGAATTGATGCATTTGAGTTATGGTGTCGGAGGAGAATATTGAAAATGCCATGGGCTACCAAAGGAACCAACAGATCAGTGTTAGAACAAGTACAGCCAGAGTGCTCCTTGGAGGCCAGGATGGTCAGACTTCGTCTCACATACTTGGGACATTTTATCAGTAGGGGTCAGTCCCTAGTGAAGGACATCATGTTTGATAGAGTGCAGAGTCAGAGAAAAAGCGGAAGACCCCCAATAAGATGGCTTGGCACAGTGGCAACAGCAATGGGGTCACGTTTAGCAATGATTGTGAGGTTGGCACAGGACTGGGCAGTGTTTCATTCTGTTGTGAACAGGGTCGCTATGAGTTGTTACCAACTCGATAGCACCTAACAACAACAACAAGTGTTGTTGTTAAGTGCCATCAAGTTGATTCTGACTCATAGCGACCCTGTAGAGGGTTTCCAAGGAGCAGCTGGTGAGTTTGAACCGCCAACCTTGCGGTTCAAACTGACCTTGCAGTCCAGTGCATTATCATACAGCACCACACCAGCACCCTATATGTATATATGGGGGAGTTCTGGTGTGGCACTGTAGGATCAGCACTGGGCTGAGAACCACAAGATTGGCAGTTCAAACCCACTAGCCGCTCCTTGGAAACCTAATTTGTTGTTGTTGTTGTTAAGTGCCATCTATTCAGTGTTGATTCATAGCAACCCTGAATACAATTTCTGAGGAGCCACTGGTGAGCTTGAACCGCTGATGTTGTGGTTCAAACCAACCTGGCAGTCTAACACATTAACCTACAGCACCACACTAGAACTCCTGGAAACCCTATATAGGGTCACTGTAAGTCATAACTGATTTAACAGCACTTAACAACAACATTGGGAGTTCTGGTGTGGCGCTGTGGGTTAATGTGCCAGACTGCAAGGCTATTTGAACTACAAGGTCGGTGGTTCAAGCTGACCTGCTGCTCCTCGGAAACCATTACAGGGTTGCTATGGGTCGGAACCGACTCGATGGCACTTCACAACAATACGACAAATACATATATATTTTTAAATAATATTTTATTGTGTTTTCGGTGCAAGTTGACAGCAGTTTAGGTTCCCATCAAACATTCCTGCAGAAGTTATTCAGTGACAGTGGGTTATGCTCTCCATAAGGCGTGAACATTGTCATTAACTCTGTTCTAGTGGTTCCATGGAGTCCTGGGGTGGCGCTGTGGGTTAATGCACCAGACTGCAAAGCCATTTCAATTGCAAGGTTGGCGGTTCAAGCTCACCAGCTGCTCCTCTATACAGGGTCGCTATGGGTCAGCACTTAACAACCACAACAGTGGTTCCGTATTTCTAAAGGGTCCCAGTAGCTACTGTGCTGAGTGTCCCAGATAGGGCTGGCCCAGGTACAAGGTCATGGTCCTTGAGGGTCGGGGATGTATCAGACCAGGTGGTCTGATGGAAGAGGGGATAATGTTCAGGACTGCAAGTAAGGCTCCTGAATAATAATGAAGACTGAGCTAAGGTTTCAAGAGTCCACAAGGGTGACTCCAAGTTTTTATGCCCTGAGCTACGCCATTAACTATGATGGAAAAACTCCGGAAGCAGTGGGTTTGGAGAAGATGGAAGGTGAGCTTTGGATGGGTCCAGTCTGGAGTTCATGGAGTGGTTCTTAGCTGGAGTGAGCAATTGGAGAGTCTTAAGCTACAGGGTACTTACGGTCTCGAGGTGAGGGATCACAGACAGTGCTGTCCCCAAGGGAGTGAGGGTGGACAGCTGGAGAGCCCTGAGGACTGCCCGGGAAGAAGTAACCAGAGGTTGAAGGAGAATCAGGAGAGTGTGGTCTGAAGAACCAGAGGAAGAGAGCATGCTGGGGAGGAAACAACAGCCTACTAGTCAGGTGAGAGCGGACACAGCTTGGGGCACCAGCAGCATGGAGGCTGATAGCATTCGTGGGCAGAGGGTGAGGATGAAGGTCTGGTTGGAACAGGTTTAGAGGATAACTGGAGGAAGGGAATTGGAGACTGTGCACAGAGAGAGAGAGAGACACACACACGAGCTTCTAAGGAATTTTGCTGGAAGGGGAACCGAGAAACTGGCCAGTACCCAGAAACCAGAGAGGGTTGGGCTTGGTTTTTATGGAAGAATTAACAACAAAGAAGAATGAAGTAGTAGAGAAGAATGGGAGTAGGGATACCTTCAGGCCTCCCTGGGGGAACGACAATCCACCTCTCACAGCAAAGAGGTGAACTAGGAGTGGTCATGGTGGACTTGTGGCTGACTTCCCCATTGTGTGGGCCCCCGAATAGGTGGGATGGTGTGGGGCTGGCTTTAGCAGGGTCGGGGAGGGGGAGGCCCTCTGAGCTGAGATGGACAGAAGACAAGGCAACTACAGATATCCCGAGGCCAGGGGCAGCCGGGTACTCAGAGTACCAGGCAGGGAGGACGCAGGTGAGGAGGTAGGGTGAGGTGCCTCAGTTGTGGTGAATGAAGGGAAAGTAGCTTCAGGTAGAGCCCGGAGGTTCAGCAGAAGCCAGACCAGGCCGGCCCTGGAGCTGCAATACATACTTGCCATTTTTTCTAAATGCAATGGGAAGGCTTTGAAAGGTTTCAATGGGGAGGAATTTAAAAGAATACTGGTGCTGGGCTGGGGCAGGCAGAGCTGAAGGGTGGATTCTGAGGGAGGCTGGTTCTATTTTAACTACCTGAGAGCTTGAGAGGCAGTAACCACATTGTTGGTAAGTGCCTTCAAGTCCGTTCAGACTCTTGTTTTTGTGTGCCGTGGAGTTGGTTCCGACTCATAGCGACCCTGTACAGGGTTTCCGAGGCTGTAAATCTTTACGGGAGCAGAAAGCCTCATCTTTCTCCCGCGGAACAGCTGGTAGTTTCGAACCGCTGACCTTGAGGTTAGCAGCCCGATTCGTAACCACTACGCTAGCTACCAGAGCTCCTTGATCCTGTATAGGGTTTCTGAAGAGCGGCTGGTGAATTTGAACCGCCAACCTTGAGGTCTGGTGCTTATCCTACAACACCACGCCAGGACAATTCCTGATCACATCAACTTTGGCAAGTCCGTTGCCTTCACTGTACCTCAGTTTCCCCAAAAGTAAAATGGAGCTAATCATGGTTGTGATGAGGGGTAATTGTGTCAACTTGCACCAATCACTTAATAACGTGGGGACTTGGAAGTGGGGCTGGGCTAGAGCACAGGGACAAGAGTGGGAGATGACCCTCTGGCCCTGCCTTGAAGGCCCTGAAGCAGGCGCCCCCTGAGCTGACCTCCTTCTACCTCCACAGGCTTGGGCATGTGCTTTAGCTTCCAACCAAGCATCACAGTGCTGGGCTTCTACTTCACCCGCCGGCGGGCACTGGCCAACGCGCTGGCCTCGGTGGGTGTCTCCCTGGGCATCACGCTCTGGCCACTGCTCTCCGGCTACCTCCTGGAGAACCTGGGCTGGAGAGGCACCTTCTTCATCTTCGGGGGAGTCCTTCTGCACTGTTGCGTCTGCGGGGCCATCCTGAGGCCAGTAGCCCCCACTGTGGCCCATGAGACTAAAGAAAACCCCCCTCCACCACCCAAGAGACCTGCACCTGGTTGCCTGGCAACGTGTGGCCAGACCATCCAGCGCCACCTGGCCTTCGACATCCTGCGGCACAACCCCAGCTACCGCGTGTACACCCTGGGTGTCATGTGGATGATCATGGGCTTCCCGCTGCCCCACATCTTCCTGGTGCCCTACGCTATACGGCACGGGGTGAAGGAGCAGCGGGCCGCTCTGCTCATCTCTATCATCGGCTTCAGCAACATCTTCCTGCGGCCTGTGGCCGGGCTGGTGGCGGGCCGGCGCAACCTGGCCAACCACCGCAAGTACCTGTTCATCCTGGCGGTCCTGTTCAACGGGCTCACGAACCTGGTGTGTGTGGTCTCAGCTGACTTCCGCGTGCTGGTGGGCTACTGCCTAGTGTACAGCGTGTCCATGAGCGGCATCGGCGCCCTCCTCTTTCAGGTCCTCATGGATCTCGTCCCCATGGACCGCTTCTCCAGTGCCCTGGGCCTCTTCACCATCCTGGAGAGCATCTCCATCCTTATTTCCCCACCGCTGGCTGGTAAGGTGCTGGGAGGGTGGGAGGCTGGCCAGGTGGGCCCAGGTGCAGCATGAATGGGCAGGGAGTGGGGGACCCACATAGTTCCGTAACATCAGGAGATGGGGCTTGGAATCTGTGTTTCCCAGGCACCCCAGGGGACGATGCTACAGACTGGTCCCTAGATGGAATTATTGTTGTTAGAGGCCATCGAGTCTGTTCCAACTCACAGCGACCTTGGATATATAGGGTTTCTGAGGAGCAGCTGGTGAGTTTGAACCGCTGACCTTGCAGTTCAAACTGACCTCGTGGTCCAGTGCTTATCCTACAGTGCACACTGGGATTATATCTGTAAAAAGCTTTGTAGGGAGCCCACCAAGTATGTGTTTGCTGTTATTAACATCCTAGCCCTCCTTCAAAGGACCCCTGTGGCATAGTGGTTTACCCATTGGGCTGCTAACAGAAAGGTCAGCAGTTTAAACCCATCAGCCACTCCACAGACAAAGACAAGGCTGCTTGCTCCCATAAAGACTTGCGCTCTCAAAAATCCAAAGAAGTTGTTCTGCTCTGTTTTCTGAGGTCGCTATGAGTCAGAATGGAGCTCAGTGGCAGTGAGTTTAGTCCTCTGGCTTCTGTGTGACCCCCGCAAGTCAGCTTCCTTCTCTGAGCCGCAATGACACCAGCAAGATAGAGAAAAGGACATGTTCCACTAAGCCAGTCCCTAGGTACTCATGGCTGAACACAGACCTGGTCCAGCTCACCCTCAGGACTGACAGCAAAGAGCTGTTTGTAATCACAGAGGTTGTTAGTTTGTAACAACCAGGGGCTGGTAGTTTGTATCAACAGAACATAAAAGAGATCCCATGAGAACTCCTGGGATCAGGGCAGGTAGGAGCTCCTGATGCTGGACTGCAGTCAACAGACAGAAGAAATGGTGGCTATTACAATAAGACCCTGAGGTGGACTCTTCCAATGGGAATCTTTCCTCCAGCTAGCCTTGGAAGCCTTGGCTACCAGGGAGATTTGCCAATCAAATAAGTTGAGAGAAATGTCCAGGTATGGGTATGCCCTGGAAAGTAGCCGAACAAATATCCAGACTCCAATTGCCTGGCTCCTTGGCCGCCTGCCCTATGGTGCCTGCCAGCCAGAATCTTTTGAAGAACTGTCCCTGCCCAGGTCAAAGTATATTTCATTTCTCCCTTCCTTTCATTCAACAAATATCTTTCGGGCATCTACTAGTGCCAGCCATGAGTCCTGGCCCTGGGGATTATTGTGGTTAAGTGTCTTGGAGTCAGTTCTGATTTATGGCAACTCTGTATAGGGTTTCCAAGGAGCAACTGGTGAGTTTGACTGCTGACTTTGTGGTTAGCAGTCCAGTGCTTATCCTACAGCATCACGCCAGGCGTTACCAAGGATACAGAGACAAAAATCAAATCCCGCTCTCATGGAGCACACAGTTTAATGGGGGGTGGGGAGGCTAGGTACCTCCAGACAGCAGTCTGACTTGTTTTCTCCTCCCCAGGGTTGCTTCTGGATGTCACCAACGACTTCCACTACGTTTTCTACATGTCGAGCTTTTTCCTCATCTCGGCAGCCCTCTTCATGGGTGGCAGCTTCTGTGCCCTACAGAGGAAGGAGGGGCAGAGCAGGCCAGCTGAGTCAGGAGCCAGCGTGGACGCTGCTGCAGAGAGGAGCCTTACCCTAGAAGGCACAAACAGTGCCGAGAAGCAGTTGAACCCTGAGACCATGTATGTAAGCAGTGTCTGAACTCCGGGACCACATGTGACCAACATCTGAACTCCAGGGTCATGGGTGTCACCAACATCTGAGCCCTAAGATCATGTGGGTGACCACAGTCTCGGCCCAGGAATGGTATCTCCAGCTGCTTCGCCAGGAGAAGGGCTATCCAGGCTCTGCAAGCTGGACTGGGCCCGGGATTGGACTCTGAAGATTCAGGGTTCCTTCCAGCCAGCCGAATTCAGGAGCTAGTTCTCCTGACGTCTTCCTTGGGCCCAACAAACACCCTAGGGTCCAGGAAGGTGGGTCTGAGCCCTGCTCGGGTCTGTCACGGCCAGTTCGGCTCAGCTGGGTGCTACAGCTCAACACAATGGACCTTCAAGTCCAGCTGGGAGACCTATTTTGTGATCTCTGTCCTCCAGCCTCCAGACAGTGTCAAAGCATTTATGCCTCCTTTTCAAAGGCCTTTCTGTCCCCTGTTCCTGAGTGCCCAGCCCTTGTCCTTAGGGCACCCAAGGTTGGTGCTCGCTGGGGCTACCACAGTAGACTTCTGGACCTCACACTGCCTGGATCCCTGGGAAGAAGGGCGGAGTTGCGGCCTGGCCAAGGAGTTGTCCTGGATGTGGAATTTGGACAGATTAAAGCTGGGGGTGCCCAGTTAACATGCTAGCCAAAAGGTTAGAGGTTTGAGTCTACCCAGAGATGCTTCAGAAGAAAGATCTAGCAGAGGGAGGTTAGCAGAGGAAAGCTGAAGGGAGCAGAAGACACAGAGAGGAATGCAATAGGTAAAGTGAAGAGAGGTATATACTGTTAATTGTTGGTACCTGGAAGGGACTGCAACCATGTAGTGAAGCAAAGTCTATGGTTTGTTGACTGTAAAACTGATGATCTGCTCTGTAAACCTTCACTCAATTCACTATGCTGTTGTTGTTGTTGTTGTTAAGTGCCATCAAGTCGGTTCCAACTCACAGTAACCTTGTATAAGGTTTCCAAGGAGCCGCTGATGAGTTTGAACTGCTGACCTTGTGGTTCAAACCAACCTTGGGGTCTAGTACTTATCGTATGGTGTCACACCAAGACTCCTCAATTCACAATAAAAAGTTGGGAGGAAAGACAAAGAAGAAAGACCTGGCAATCTACTTCTGAAAAAATTAGTATAAAAGTGTTGTTGTTAAGTGCCATCAAGTCGGTTTAGCCCACAGTGCCACACATGACTCCAATTGTTGGTTTTTTTAATGCCATGGTGGTGGGGACATCTGACGTACTCTAAACTCAAGAGCCAAGGCCGATTCCTATGAGGCACAGGTCAGACATGGCTCCTCTCTCCTGCCTTTTTACCAATTTTGACACCAGCTGCTCCTCCCAAGGCTGCTGCAGGTTTTGGTAATTAATGCCTTGCTGTGGCCACACAGAACTCAGACAGAGACCATGCTCACAGTTATGGGGTTTAGTGGGGAAAGTAATAGGTTACCTACCAGCTGCTCCTTGAAAACCCTATACAGGGTCACTATAAGTCGGAACCAACAACAGGTTACAACTCAGAATCAGGAATGACTCCGGATACAGTTCTTCAAACAGGACAGTCTGCTTTCAGACATTCACGAAGACAGGCCTCTGTCTGGCCCTCAGCTCAGCCTCTGCCATGCTTGGGCAAGTATTACAAAACTCTTTGTTGTTGTTGTTAAGTGCCGTCGAGTCGATTCTGACCCATAGCGATCCATCCAAGCCTTAGCGACCCTGTTATAGGGTTTCTGAGGAGCAGCTGGTGAGCTTGAACTTCATGGTTCAAACCGACCTTACAATCCTGCACATTAATCCACAGTGGGACTCCACACCAGGACTCCACAAAGCTCTTTGGTGGTGGTTATGTGCTGTGGAGTTGGTTCCGACTCATAGCAACCCTGTATAGGGTTTCCAAGGCTATAAATCTTTACTGGAGCAGAAAGCCTCATCTTTCTCCTGCAGAACCGCTGGTAGTTTTGAACTGCTGACCTTGAAGTTAGCAGCCTGATTCTTAACCACTACGCTACCAAGAGCTCCTTACAAGCTCTTTAGCTCCTCTGAAAAAAAAGGCCAGAGGCACTCCACTAGGCCTCTAAGCCTCGGCTCGAAGTCATTCAACTTTCTCACTCCATAGGTTGACACCCTTTCTCTCTCTGTCTCCTGGGTCTAGAAAGTCTAGAAGCACAAGAACCATGAGGCCAAAGGATGCACTTCACTCCTGTCTCTTAATAGTAATGAGGTCCCCGCATCCCACCTCTGCTGTGGTTCATTTCCAGCTCAGTAGGATGGTAAAACCTTCCTTATCTCCACAAGGGTGCCCTACACCTAATTTTCATCATTAGCAAACTGTCCAGTCTCCTTGGTGGGCTCAAAGCACAATCATTTGGTGAGAGTTACAAGACCGTGGTGAGAAAGGTCATATAAAAGTGATCCGTTGTACCGCAGTCAGCCATTGAAAACTGGAGAGACAGTTGTGCGCTAACACGCCAGGAACCGACAGGCAGGTAATTGGTTTATTTGTTTTCTGTGTCAGAAACCAATCCACGTCCCCCCTCCCCCCACTGTTCTGTCTACTGTGTCTGATTCCTATGAGGCAGAGGAACACCCTAGGGTAAGTTGTTGACTGGGTCAGCCGCTCGCCAGTCCACTCCTGCTTTGTCTTGGCCTCTGCTTTTAGCCTGGAGGTCAAAGAACCTCACACTTACTTTGGAGTGAACTTCCCTTCCGTCACCACACCAGGGACTGGTCAGTTCAGGCTTGTCCCAGTAGGGTGCCAACGGAGGGGAAGGGAGAAAACAGAGCCTGTTTAAACGACACACAAGCACGGTTCCTTCTGCAGGTTATAAACTCGGTGAACTAATGAGGCTGGAAACAGACCTGGAGTAAGGGTCCCCACCACCCCTTTGACCTCTCCCAGCTTGGCTGGGGCTGCTCAGGCATAGGACCAAGTTTGTTGATTCCAGGCCCAACCAAGCTGCACAAGAAAATCCCATCAGGCCAAGGAGAATCAATTTTCATGACCTGACTCCAGCCTTCTTTGGCGATATGTCTAGCTGGTGTGAATAAGTCTCCTCCGTCATATTCCTTTCTCCCCCAGTGAGATGGATTGGCAAAGTGGCAGCATCAATGGGCTCAAGCGTGGCAACAATAGTGAGGTTGGCCCAGGATCGGGCAGTTTCGTTGTGTTGTGCATAAGGTCGCTTTGAGTCGATGGCACCTAACAACCCTGCCTTGAGTGTCCCCTTGTGGTCAAAGACGGTAGCGCAGAAGCAAGGCAAGGCTCCGGGAGGGATAGTTGTTTGGTGCCATCAAGTGGGTACCGACTTATAGCAACCTTATTTATAACAGAAGGAAACACTGCCAGGTCCTGTGTCAATAGGACCTCACAATTGTTGCTACACTTGAGCCCATTGCGGCTGCCACTGAGCCAATCCATCTTGTTGGGGATCTTCCTCTTTTTTGTTGACCTTCCACTTGACCAAACATGATGTCCTTCTCCAGTGACTTTATGTCCTTACAATATGTCTGAAGTATGAGAGACAGTCTCCCCATCCTGGCTTCTAAGGACCATTCTGGCTCTACTTTTCCCAACACAGATTTGTTTGTTCTTCATGGTACTTTTAATATTTTCCAGAACCCTAAGTCAAATGCATCAATTCTTCTACAGTCTTCTTTATTCATTGTCCAACTTTCACATGCATATGAGGCTATTGAAAATACCACAGTTTGGATTCGGTGCACCTTAGTCCTCAAACTGATATTTTTGCTGTTGAACACTTTAAAGAGGTCTTGTGTGGCAGATTTGCTGAATTGAATACGTCATTTAATTTCTTGTTTGCTGTTTCCATGAGTGTTGATGGTGGATCCAGGCAAAATGAATCATTTGACAACTTCAATCTTTTCCCATTTATCTTCATGGTATTTATTGGTCCAGTTATGAGGGGTTTTGTTTTCTTTACACTGAGGTGCAACCCTTACTGAAGGTCTTTGATCTTAATCAGTAAGTATTTTAAGTCCTCTTTGCTTTCAGCAAGCAAGGTTGCATCATCTGCATATCACAGGTTGTCAATGAATCTTCCTCCAATCCTGATGCTATGTTTTTCTTCATATAATCCAGTTTCTCAGATTATGTTTGATAATATCACAATTTGCTATGAGACTTGGGGCAAATTGTTTCTCACCTCTGAACCTTGTAAAAGGAGGTTGTCTTGGATGAAGTAAAGTGTCTTCCATTTGAAATGTTTAATTATGTGGGAAAAGGGGCAAAAATGGTTTAGTGAATTCTCACCTTCTAATGGAGTCCTCCGGAGCTCTGGTAGCGTAGTGGTTACGAATCGGGCTGCGAACCTTAAGGTCAGCGGTTCGAAACTACCAGCCGCTCCGCGGGAGAAAGATGAGGCTTTCTACTCCCGTAAGGATTTACACCCTCGGAAACCCTGTACAGGGTCGCTATGGGTCGGAACCGACTCGACGGCACTTAACAACAACAACAACAAATGGAGTCCTGGTGTGGCACTGTGAGTTAATGCAAAGTTGGTTTGAATTGCAAAATCAGTGGTTCAAGCTCACCAGCTGCTCCTCGGAAACCCTATACAGGGTCGCTATGGGTTGGAACTGACTTGACACCACTTAACAACAAGTAGGAGACCAGGGTCTGAGTCCCAGCCAATATACCCAGGTGCAATCACCATCTGCCTGTTAGTGGAGGCTTGCTCACTATGATGCTTTAACAGGTTTCAGTGGCACAAGGAAGAAAGGTCTGGTGACCAGCTTCTGCAAATCAGCCTGTGGATCTTAATGGTCTGGTCTGTCACATGGGGCTAGAGTTGGCATTCAGTTCCACTGTACATGGGTCACTACGAGTTACAGGGTTGACTTGACAGCAGCTAACAACAACCATTATTGAGGTGTCCTTGCTTACCATCCCAGTCCATACTTGGCCACTATTTGTACCTTGTACGAATGCTTATACAAGGTACACATTTTACTGAGTCTGTCTCCTCCTCCATCTTGAATAGAAAAGGAAGCAGTTGAGGGCTGGTAGCCATCAGCCCTCAATGTACAAATCTGTTGTACATTCTCAAATAGTCCCATTTTCTAAAATCAGATTTCACATGATTGGGACTGGGGCTACTAGTGAACCATCAGTGCAGGAAAGTTTGACTCTGGCCACATACAAGGGGACATTGATTTCCAGGCAAAGTTCCTTCAACAAATGCTCACTTGAGCATCTACTGCTGCAGTGACCGGGCAGAGATGGAAAGTCCCATCCCTATCCTCCACACAAAGCCAAGGGCAAAATTCTTCTTCCCCAAGGAGGAGACTCCAAGAGGCCTCAGGAGAAGATAAGACCATACTCAAAGGGAGATGGGGTGACCCATCAGGGTCCAGAAAGCACACTTAGCTGATTTCCTGGAAATCCTGTAGCCTGGGGCAGGGGCAGTTCCTGGCCAGAGCTGATGGGACTCTGCCCATTCTGGCTTCCAGCCCAGCCCTGAGTTCTCAGCCCCGCAGGCCTTTGCTGCTCTGCTCAAACTAAGCAGAGGCTGCCTCAGGGGAGGCTCCCAACTTTGTGCTGAGCCGCACCCTCTCCAGCACCACAAAAGCAGCTTTTTTGTTTTTAAGTCAATTCTAATTCATAGCGATCCTGTGCATACGGTCTCCAAGGAGCCGCTGGTGGGTTTGAACCATGGACCTATGTGTTACTGGGTCGGGTTACAGACTAGAAAGTCATGAAATATACTGGAGTCAGTTCCCTGCATAAGAGTTCCAAGGCTGTAATGCTTTACTGGAGCAGAAAGCCTCATCTTTCTTCCATAGAATGGCTACTAGTTTTGAACTGCTGACCTTGTAGTTAGCAGCCCAACTCATAACCACTATGCTACCAGAGTTCCTTGAAATACTAAGAGGTTTATTAGAGAAAGACTTCCTGCAGGGGAGACATGCCACGCCTCTGCCTGTGCACGCTTACAGCCTAATGTAGTTGTAGAGAGATACTTTCTTTCAAAAGGGAGGTGGGCTTTCCGGTTTGCTTAGTTCTCCTCTCATGTGTCACTTCCATCTCCCTTTTCCCATGCTGTGCGCCCACCTGGCGTCCATGAGGAGTCTAAGATTTCAAAATGGATCCCGTCGCATAGGCATCTGGGATACTTGACATGACTGTTTTACAACGGCGCTGAAAACTGGTTAAGGGGGAGGTTAATGTGTAGCTGATGGTTAATAGCCCTGCTGAGCAGCTGAGTAGAGAGAGGGGGCTCACAAATCCCTCTGGGTTCCAGACACAGAAGGGAATAATTCTTTCCTTATTTTATCTCTCTTATGGAGTCCTTGTGTGGTGCTGTGGGTTAATGCGCGAGACGGCAAGGCCGTTTGAACTGCAAGGTCGGCGGTTCAAGCTCACCAGCGGCTCCTCGGAAACCCTATATAGGGTTGCTATGGGTCAGAGCCAACTCGGCAGCACTTTAAGAACAACTCGTTTATATCCTGTTTGTCTGACAAGGAGGTAGGTTCTGTTTCTTGTCCACATCCTAGTTCTCTGGTTTTGGCATTTGGAAGTTTATTTTATGGTTTTATTGATCTTTCCCAGTGCTGCCTTTCTGCTACCCCAGTAATTTTCCTCTTGTTCTCTAACCCTAACACCTTCGCATTCCAGTGCTTATCCTACAGCGCCTTACAAGGAGTCCCTCAGGGCCACAGCAGTCTGAACTGCCCAAGAGGGCTACCTGCTGAGAAGTGTCAAGTCAATAAAGTTGCTTTGTCAAAAAAAAAAAAAAAAACCCACAGCTGAAGTCCCCACCTCGATAGGAATGTGGGGCAGGGTCACCTCCCTCCCTAGTGCTCCATCCCTGCCTCCAGGAGGTCTCGGTCACTTCCTAGGAATTCACGAGAAGACACCAGGTGTAAAAGCATCCTAGTTCAGGTTTACTGGAGTAGAAAGCCTCATCTTTCTCCCGCGGAGCAGCTGGTAATTTCGAACGGCTGACCTTGAGGTTCGCAGCTAGATTCGTAACCACTACGCTACCAGAGCTCCTGACGAAGCAAGCACTTGAACCATAAGGTAGGTGGTTCGAATTCACCAGCACTCCTTGGAAACTCTATACTGAGCGGCAACCGACTCAATGGCACTTAACAAGTGTTGGCCGGAGTCCCCCGCCTGCCTTGCAGACAAAGAGGGGAGGGCATTCCCCAGCACCGTTTCCTCAAGCCTTCTAGTTGGAAGTGGGGAGGGGAAACGCCAACCCAAATGTAGCGTCAAAGGGCCGAGAGATGAACGCAGGAAACCGACGACAGGGCTCCGGAGGGGCGAATCCCTCAAGGGGTGGGAGTGTGCATCAATGCTTCTGGGTCTAGAGGGCACAACAGCTGGATAGGAACGCAGAAGCGCACCGCGCACGCGCGCCGAGCTCAGCGAAGCTCGCCACACCCCTTCCGGCCACGATGGGCGGGGTTTGTACGACTTCCGCTCGACGTGGGGACTCGGCTGTTTATAGCTGTGATCCCAAGTGACTACACTTTGGGCTTCCAGTTTGTTTCCAGGTCAGACACTTACCTGAGACGCACTCCACTGCGGTCCCCTACACCCAGTCCCAGTTAAAGAGCACTGCAGAACCTGAACCCAGGAAGGAGCCCATTTCCAGTCCCGGCCCCTAGCCTCCCGCATCCTCCAGGGAGCCTCCGCCATCCCGACCATGGCTCAGAAGTCGAAGGTGGACCCCCAGATGGGGCGGCTGGGATACCTGCAGACGCTGGTCACGGAATTCCAGGAGACGGAGAGCCAAGGTGAGAAGGGCAGGGTGGGGACCGGGGGCACGACCGCTGCCTAGAGCTGGTTTCAGCGCTGCTTTGCCTTACAGACGCCAAGGAGCAAGTCCTGGCCAACCTCGCCAACTTCGCCTATGACCCCAGCAATTACCAGTATCTGCGGCAGCTACAGGTCCTGGATTTGTTCCTCGATTCACTGACGGAGGAGAATGAGACCCTGGTGGAGTTTGCTATAGGTAAGGATGAGGACCTGCTGGCTGTTGGGATGCGGTGAGACGCAAGTGACGTGTCGGGAAGGAAGTCTCTTTTGTAGTAGCACTGACCATGAAGGGTCCAGTCGGATTCCGACTCTTAGCCACCCTGTATAGGGTTCACAAAGAGCGACTCTTGGGTTTAAATCGCCTACCTTATAGCAGTCCAGTGCTTTCCCTACAACACCACACCGGAACTTGTTTGATTTTAAGAAAATTTCAGGGGATGTTTTTGGTTTAAGGTTTAAAGATTTTCTCCAGGCAATAATTTAAAGGGTTCATCCAGAAAGTGTGGAGCCCATAACAATTTGAAATTCTGTTTTGCATTTTCCTCCTTTTGATCAAGAGTCTTCTACAGAGATGTTCATCAGTATGTTCAGTGATGGTACCCTGACACCATCCAGTTCTGGTCTCATGACAAAGGAGGTTGTTGTTCATGGAGATTATTAGTAACACACCCATTTCCTCCTATTCCTAGCTCTTCTGCCTCTGTTGCTCCAGGCAAGTAGAACAGTTCTTGTGCTTGTAAGACACCAGTCACTGCACAGGGATCTAGGAGACAGAACAGAGACATTGAGCACATTATTAAGGATGCCCCAAGATTTAAAGTGTTGATAGAATCAAGTAAACATGTTTTTAGAAACCACTCCTGGTGAGTGTGAATTTGATTTTTAAGAAACCATCTACGTTTGCCCCTCATGTTGGAGGTGCCCAGGACTAGTGTCCAAATAGGGTTGGTCTTCCCTTCTCACTGAGGGTGGATACCAAGCTTCGTTTGCACCCCACAAACAGCTGCCCCAGTTGGCCCTTGTTCACTCCTTAGGCTCAATGTGCACAGCAGCAGTGAGGCCCATTCCTGGGAATTGGAAGCCAGGACAGAGACCCAGAAGCCATGGAAGTGGGTTTAGGGTCTGGAGCTCCAGGTGCCTGGGGTAGGAAGTAGGCTCTGGGGGAGCTCTGCAGTGTGGAGCCCTTTAAGCTGGGCCTGGGGCAAGAGCCCCAGCTGTCCAGGTCTCGAAGTGGCGCCAGCACATCTGCCCCTCTGGAAGATGATTTGTGCTAAAGGTTGTTTCTGTTAGGTGCCCTGAGTGTATTTTAGACTCACTGATGTCATGTGACAGGGTAGAACAGCTCCATAGGGTCCTAGACTGTAACCAGGACGCCTGGTGTGACGCTGTGGATTAATGTGCCTGACTGAAAAGTTATTTGAACTGCAAGGTGGCAGTTCAAGCTCACCAGCCGCTCCTTGGAAACCCTATACAGGGTCACTATGGGTCAGGACCAACTTGACGGCACTTAACAACAACAAGGATTAAAAATTGCCAGATGTCTATCTGAAACAAGCTCCCCTCCTGATCACTTTCCTGCCCTTAGTTGTTAACAAGTGCTATCAAGTCAGTTCTGGCTCAAAACAACCCTCTTGTTGTATGTTGTCATCAGTTCTGGGTCACAGCATCCTTTATAGGATTTTCAAGGCTTTAAAATCTTTGCAAGATCAGAAAGCTTCATCTTTCTCCCGTGAAGCAACTGGTGGGCTCAAACCACTGACTTTGTGGTTCACAGTCCAGTATTTATCCTGAGAAGCCAGCGCACTTCAGAGCAGTTAGATTCTAGAAGCTACTTTCCTGCCCGTTTAGGCGTCCCTAATTACCCCACCTGTGCACTATTAAAATTATTGATGAGGAAACTGAGGTACAGTTGGCTGCCCTTCAGCCAGAGACAACACAGGTTTCCTTCAGTCTGTCCCTGCAGCCCACCAGTCACAGCGTGTCATGGGACTGTGTTGATACGATCTCCTCTCTCGTTAGCCATTCCACGTCCTGTCTGCGTCTGAGAGTTGCAGCTCTGTGGGGCTTCAGTTTGGGCTACAGTGTATCAGCTGTGCTACACTCCTAAACCCCCTTCCCTGTCCAGTATAGCTACCACTCTGAAGGATCTGATGGGAGAACACGCAGGGTTTTCAAGTCTACTGCTGTGTGTCCCTTTCCCTTTCTGGGCAGTTTTACCAAAAGAGTTCAAGTAACTGGCAGCAGCCCACAGTTACGGGTTAATTGTTTTTTTTTTTTGTTATTATTGTTCTATTTCTTGCATTACACGGAACTTCCACTAGATGGTGGTCTTGCTCAAGATAGAGGCTGATAAAAGCCTTAATGCCTCTGGAAACTGATTAAGTTGAACAAGAGGCACCCACCTAAGACTGCAGTACTGTTTGTAGGGTTAGGGCACGTATTCACATATGTCATAGACAGCAGTAATAGTGCAGCCTGACACTGGGTCATTCGTGCTACAATACTCAGTAAATGAAGGATCTACAATGGGAACGTAGTGGTTACGAATTAGTCAAAACTACCAGCTTTTCCATGATAGAAAGATGAGGCTTTCTGCTCCCGTAAAGATTCACAGCCTCGGAAACCCTATACAGGGTTGCTATGAATCAGAACCGACTCCATGGCACACCACCACCATAGTGGATTAATTTACAACCATAATGGTAAATGTTGCTAACACACTATGATTTCATTTCTATAAAATCCAGAAACAGGCAGAAGTTAATACCTAGATGTTTATGTGTAGTATAAAAAATGGTTTTTCACGAGGTTCTGCTTGCATCTAGACTTACGGGGAAGGGAACGCTATCCTTTCAAGTCATGGAGAGATGGTAGAAACTACCCTAGCAAATAAATTCATTGAGAGAGATTTTATTAAGTTACTATGAATCAGGAAGATGATCACCTCTGTGGGAAGGGACTCTTAGGAAGTAACATACGAAGATTTCCGTGTTTTAGTTCTTGACTGTGGTGATAGTTGCACAAGCATTTGCTTTATCATCATCAAACTTGCCCTGTACGTGCCAGCCCTGTTCTGCACGTGTGACCCCGTGCCAGCCTCTGGACCTATGAAGGGTGCAGGATTGGCCCCATCCTTCAAGGAGTTCACAGTCTGGTTGGGGCAATGACGTGTGAAATGTCACACAAATGGTACAAGACAAATAATACTGCAGCTGTGGCTACCATGTGTCAGGGAGGTGCCTTAATTACATTATTTGATTCATTCCAGGAGCCTTGGTGGTGCAGTAGTTAAAGCACCAGGCTTCTAACCAAAAGGTCAGCAGTTCGAGCTGACCAGCAGATCTTTGGGGAAACCATAACCTTAAAGATGACAACCTAGAAAGCCCAGTGGGGCAGCTGTCCTCCGTCCTCCCTCCTATAGAGCTGCTGTGAGTCAGAATGCACTGGAAAGCAATCAGGGCTTGGTGTTTGGTTTTGCTTGTTAATTCTCTCGCCCATGTGACTGATGAGAAGCTGAGTTGCTTTGAACATTGATGAATTCCTAGTCCATCTCCGCCCACCCCCCGAGCCCTCCCTGCGTCCTCCACTCCACGTCCTGGGCTCCCTGTCCCTGCTGCCCTCCCTGCTCCCACACAGCAACCCAACCGACTGCTTTCTCTACAGACTGCTTGGTCCTCACACTTGACATTTCAGAAGGAACCTTTTCAAGATACTAAAGTTAAACCAGTCATCTCAGATGAAGATTTGGACCCTGGGCTATGGCCAGTGCCCCCTGGGGGTTGGTGAGTCCTGACCTTTTCCAGGACTGGACAGGCCGCTGGGTACTGACTAAACACTTGTCTGCAGGACCTCATTTAGCCCCCGGACAATCCCTAGACACAAGGCCACCCACCCAGCTTCTCTGAGCCTCCAGCTTTCCCATCCCAAGCTGCACTTGGGGGTCTCTCGGTTTTTGCATCTCCTTGGGGGTGTCCGAGAGGCCCTGTTATTGCCTCGTTCCTAGTCTCTGACTTCTGAGTTTTTCCAAGTTAGCTCCTCAGCGGGTCGGAACTTGTTCTCCTGGGTTTGTTCTGCACAGTGGCTGTGACTGGTCACTTTAGGGTGCTTCCCATTGAATGGTGATGGGTTTTCACAGCACTCTTCTTCAGGCGGGTCCTCTGAGGGGAAGGCTGCCACCCTCTTGGCTGCGCTGCTGTTCTCCAGGCCCCCCTTTGCACCTCTGAGAGGCTTCAGGAGAGACATATGTACCCTCCCCGTGTTCATGCAGTCATGAGTCTTGGGAGGTGGGGGCAGTGAGGGTACCCCCAGCAGGTACCATCTGCTGATCCAGCCCCACCCAGACACACCTGGTGGTAAGGAAGACTCATCTCCAGGCGAGTGACTCGGGGCACCATCTTACTGCCCCTCCTGACTCAGAAGACCCCGCCGCCCCTGCGGAGCCTGTTCTTGGCCTCCTGATTGCACAGGGACTGTTTCCCATGGCAATGACAAAGGGTGCCTCTCTGAAACTTAGGGCGAATTGTCCCACTTTTACAACTTCAGCTTCTTCCACTAAGATGGGGTGACAATGACACTTGCTCGGTAGAGTTCAGCCACGTGATCAGCACATGCCCAATGGCCTGACCACCGCTCTGGGCTCCACGGGTCACCAAAGGTGTTTAGTGAAGCCATCTCCAGGGTGGGGTGCTGAGTGAGGTCCAGATTACAGGGAAAGCCTCCTAGTGTAGTCTAGAGGACTGGCTTCTGAGGATAGGGGAGCAGCAGTTCCGGGATGAGGGGATGGCAGGGATCAAGGTCCCAACAAGAAAATGCTTGGTGTTTGGAGGCCCGTAAACGGAGGGCTGGGACCAGAATGGACTTTGGACAGATCCAGCCCTTTTGGAAGGAAGTATGGTGGCATCTGGGATACGTGTTGAGCTGCTAACCATAACGTCAGCACGTCAAGCCTACCTGATGCTCAGCAGACAAATGATGAGACGGCCTGCTTTTGTAAAGATTACAGTCTCAGAAACCTTATGGGGCAGTTCTAGGGTCACTGTGAAGTGGAATCGACTTCTGGGGCTCAGTGGGCAGGAATGAGGGGACCTCCAGACTGCTACTCTCTTCCCCTAGGTGGTCTCTGCAATCTGTGTGCAGATAAAGCCAACAAGGAGCAGGTCATGCAGGCGGGCGGCATCCCACTCATCATCAGCTGCCTCTCCAGCCCGAGAGAGGAGACGGTGCTGTCTGCGGTCACCACGCTCATTTACCTGAGCCCGCCCGGCCCGGGCTACCACCCAGAACTGACCGCCCTGCCTGTGGTTCAGTGCATGCTGCGCTTCTCTCTCTCCGCCAACACACGCCTCCACAACCTGGCCCAGATCTTCCTGGAAGACGTGTGTGACCCGAGCCAGGTGGCTGAAGCCCGCTGTGGCGGAGCACACTCTGCCCTGGGCATCCCACTGCCCCGGGACTGAAAGCCACCAGCGCTTCTTGCCCTGGACGCTGCAGAGGTGAGCTTACCAGCAAGACTGGTCTTTCCACTGTGGTGACAGGTATTAGAAGAGACCGAGGACCCAGCACTGGGGACAGAGAGGTTACCTAGGGTGGTCCTCTTCCACAGGCTGGCACCTTGCCTCAAACTAGAGGCCAAGTCCCCGCTTCCAGGGCCCACCGCTCTGCAAACTCCTGCCTAGTGTTGCCTGTGTCTAATAGCCGGGGGTCCCTGGATCCACAGGCTTCTAGAAGAGGTTTCTCATGCAGAGCAGCTAGGTCAGGAGGCTCTGAAGTTATTTTTGAGGGACGGGAATGAAAGTCTAGCGGCCCTGGGAAGCTGTCAGCCCAGTGACTATTAACATAGCCATCAAACACTAAAACGAAAGCCACAAGATGACATTTCAGAATAAAGGCAAGAACCGATGAAGCTGCGAGTTCTCCCCTCACTACCCCCAGGGTCTCTTCTGCCATCAGAGTTAGTGGGAGCGGAGTCCCTGGAAGTCAAGGACTGTGGGACCCATGAGAAGCTGGAGCTCGAACAGTTAGGACTCAGGAGCTATGCAGTGTAGCCTTAAGAAATAACCAAGAATGGCCACGTTCGTCACCAATAATGAGAAGTGAGAGAAAAACAGCAATGAAGCGGCAAGCTAAGCCCTACAATATTCAATAGACTCCTCTGAACCCTCCTGGAGACCTGATCGGCCAGCAGTGTGGCAAGACCTGGGGACTCTTGGGCCCAGAGTCAATGACATAGCCACAAAGGACTAATGTGGAGCATCCAGCTGATAGGAAGAGAGGGGATATGCACAAGAACACCCACACTTGCAGATAATACCCACTTGACCTAGCTTTAATGACTGGATAATCAGAGCTCAACTAGAAGAAAGAAGAGGAAAAATGGAGTAATCTGATAAAATTTTATGAACTTGACCTACACCTATGGATGCAGTAGCTCACAAGAGGGAACAAATCCTTACTGCAAGAATCATTCCAATCCCCTCCATACACAGAGTAGACAGGGATGGGCAACTTGGACATTGGCTACCCAAA